AGGGAGGGGGTCAAGGTAGACAAGGAAAGGCTCCAAGGAGACCCCACCCACATGCAAAGATCTCAGCAGGCATGGAGGCAGATGTGCATTAGCAGCAGCTGAGCTGTGCTGATTACCTGTGTGAGCACTCACAGGTGCAGTCCCACTCCTGGTAGGCCCACCATGCACATGCACACCAGGGACAAAACTGACAGGCCCTCAGGCCCTCCACACGCTCTTGCCTACAATTTGGTATCCTGTGCTAACACTCACATTCCCAAAGGCAAGGACTCAGTCTGGGAAAGGGCACATCTAAGGACAACAGTATCCCTGTGACCCTGGTCAGCAGGCAATCTACATCAGGACAGAAAAGAAAGGAACTCTCTCCCTTTTTCCTAAAGGAGGTCCCCAGAGCCCAGCTTCCCTTGTTCACCTCCCTCCCAATCCCCAGAGCCTGCTCTGTATAAGCCATATCCCCAAGTCTTGAACCTTTTGCTAGTTAGGCTGTCCAGAGTCTAAGTGGGAAAGGGAGGCTCTTCCCAGAAAGAGGGCATGCCATCTCTGGCCTAGAGCCCGTTACCCTCAGGACTGGGGAAAGACCCACAGGAGCAGCCCCAGGCCTCACTGTTCTCTATGGCTTTTTATTCCTATGTGATTCTACTGCTCACTCATATAGGGATTGGAGCCGTGGCGCACGGTGAGGATAGCCAGCGGAGGGCTCCAATACTGAACAAGAAGGCCCGAAGGAAGCCAGGATAGTGGCACCTCCTTCTGTCAAGCCAGGCTGCCAGCCAGGCCAAGGGAACAATTCCACTGCTGCTCTCCTCCCTACTCACCTCTTTGCCCATCGACTCTAACAGGGGAAGGGGCTTCTGGACCCCTTCATTGCTCTGACCCACCCACCATCCCAGTCCTGAACACCATCACTCAAGGCTAGACCAGGGCCTAAACTGTGTTCCCAGAGGAGTGGCTGAAGGACCTGGGGATGTTCAGCTTAGGAAAATGGGGCTGGCACAAGAAAATAAGGTCCAGTGTCCTGTGGGCTAGAGGAGCTCCTAGACAACAGAGGCCTAGGAGATAAGATAGATTTCAGCTCAACCAAAGCCAAGAGCATCCAGATACAGAAGAGATTTCTTGGTGGCAGGTAGTAAACATCCACCCCAGTGAGGCATACTTGCAGGAGTACGACAGACTATGGCAAAGGATGCCACAGGGAATCATGGTTGAATGGGTGACAGTCCCTAGGCCTGTCCTCCCTGGGATCTCTGCTTGCCTACATCAAGGCTGTTGGGATCCAGGCTCAACTCACATAGAGTCCAGAAAAACAGGCAAGCCTCGTCCTGAGTGTGTCAGGATGAGAGGGGTATGGGAAACTCCATCAGATCCTGGCACTATGACTATAGCCATCCCACACTCCCTTCCCCAGCAGCTCCCTGTGAGTCTGTACTGAGAGAAGATGCACTGAGAATCCAGTGGTCCTTTTATTTATTTGTTTTTGGTAACAGGGATTGAACTCAGGGAAACTTAACCACTGAGCCACATCCCCAGCCCTTTTTTGTATTTTATTTATAGTCAGGGTCTCACTGAGTTACTTAGAGCCTCACTAAATTTCAGAGGCTGGCTTTGAACTTGCGATCCTCCTGTCTCAGCCTCCGAGCCACCAGGATTACAGGCGTGCTCCACTGTGCGCAGCCAGTGTGGTTCTTTTTATTTTCAATCTCTCTAGCTTCACTCCACAGAAGGCGGAGGTGAGCAAAGAGACTGCTCAGGAAAGAACAACAAAGACAAATAAACTGGCCAAGGGGCTTGTTCTATCCTCAGAGCTAATTGCTATTATGACAGAAAGTAGGCCCTAAAGCCTGGTGAGGCCCTGGGGACCAACTCTGGTATTCCCTAAGACCCCGCCCCAACGCCTCTTCTGTACTCTCAAAATATGACCGATGATGTCACTGAGGCCGCAGAAACAGAAGGTGGGTGTCCATGACATTGGTTCCTGTTGGCCCTGTGTACAGCAGGTGTGCTCCACCTTGAAGGCGGCAGAAGAAGGTGTACGAGTCATTGTGGGCTAGGAAGGTAGCCACATCCAGGCCCTCAGCAGCAGCCTGGATGGTAAGCTCAGGCATGACCCAGGCCCCAGCAGCTTCTGTGGGCCCATCCTGCCCATCGGTGCCACCACTCAAAAACAACACATCAACAGGCCCCAGTGGCCATCTTCCTAACTCTGCTCCAACACGCAGGGCCAGTTCCTGGTTCCGGCCACCCTTGCCTGAGCCGTGCAGCTGCACCGTGGGCTCACCGCCAGCTAGCAAGCAGACTGGGCCCCTAGCCTCTGCCACAGCCTCCAGAACCTCCTCCAGCTTCAGATCTGGGAGCTGGAACTCAGCTGCCAGCTCATGGAGTTTTGCATCTTCCTCCACAGAAGCACCAGCCGTGGATGAGATGAGGCGGGCTCCAGCCACTCGGGCTAGCAGTCCATAGAACTGGGCCACACTTTTCACATCACCCTGTATGGCTGTGCTCAGGACCATGGCCCGGTAGCCCAGCACCTCAGCCTGCTTCTGAGCCTCAGCCAATGCCAGCATATTAGAGCCGATGATCACATTGAGGACATGACCACAGGTGTGTGGCCCACGGGGGTCAGAGTCAGCCCGAGAGAGCACAGTCTTCACAGAACGTGGCAGGGCAGCACGAAGGCCATAGCGATTGAGGATGTGCAGGCAATCTTGCACATTGTGGGCGCTGGCCACAGTGGGGCCACTGGCAATGACCTCCACAGGGTCCCCCACCACATCTGACAGGATCAGACTCACCACCTGTGGAAGGGCCACGGGGCAAGGGTCAATCCCACCTTCTTCTCATCCCAGAGAGCATAAGAACAAACTTCCCCTTAGGTATCCATCATCTGGTACACTTCCTTGATCATATCTAACCATTCTCAGGCAGGCTCACAGAACACCTGGCCATGGGAACTCCCTCTATCCCTCTGGGGCCCCTCCCAGGCCTTCCCCCAGCCTGGTCCTGTAAACTCTCATACCAGGTCCTTGCCTGTATGCTGGTCTAGGCTTTCATGTCCCAGACACATGTAGGCAGTAGCCCAGAGCTGCCTAAGGAAGAAGCAACTCACGTACCTGGGCAGGATAGGCAGCCTGAGCCAGCCCTCCACCCTTCAGTTGTGACAAGGCCTTCCGCATGGTGTTCAGCTCCTGGATGGTGGCTCCATGGGCTGCCAGCAGCTTAGTGAGCATCTGCTTCTCCTCCAGTGTGATAGGTGGGATGGGGGAAGGCAGCAGAGCAGAGCCCCCACCTGCAGAGACACAGCCTCAGGCACAGGAGACATCCCAACCCAGGGAACCAGGCAAGCAGTGGTGGACAAGGCCACATGAGGGAATTGGTCTGGGAAGGTGGAGTTAGACTGCCCCATGAGGACAATTACCACACCCTGGCTACCAGATGTTGTCCCCTGCCATTCCCTTAGAACTTGGAACAGAGGTAAACAGCAGAAGACCAAGGAAAGAGTTGGAGACCTAGGTTCGAGCCCTGGTTGACACTGGCGCAGACAGCAACAATAGATCGAAAAGCTCTGCTGATATACCAGGTCCCGTGTTAGGTTCCCCCTCTGTACCTAATTATCATCACCCAACAATGTGAGTTGGTGTTAGGGAGGATATTGCAGCTCGGGGAAGGACAGATAACTGGCCCAAGGCCAATCAGGAGGCTCCAGGTTCCTCACTGCCTCCTTTGTTCCCAACTCCACACATTCCTCCCTTGCTCCCAACTCTTAGATCATCCCCCTTGACTGAGAGTTAATCAGATCAATCTCTCAAAAACCTGGTATTTGGAGCACCCTCCAGCCTGCTGTCCTGAGCTAACCTGAAATGAGCACAAGCAACAGGTCATCAGCTGTAAGTCCCTCAGCCAGCTGCTGGATGGCTAGTGCGGCCCGCAGTGCATCATGATCCGGTAAGTTGTTCTCTGCACCCTCAAATACTTGGACACGGCTGTGTGGTTTCAGCAACATCTCCCTGAAGAGGAATCAAATAGGAAGTAAGAGATGCAGAGGGCTCCTCTCCTCGTATCTGATTTCTCAGCTGCATAGGTGAAGGGGCATGAACAAAGATGACCACCGACACCCATCCTGGAGCCAGACCAGACATAGGAAGAAAGGTAAGCTGGTGAGGAAGGGAAGTCTGAGCCCATGTATTCCCTTCCTCCAGTTGGACAAAGGGGAGCAGCCCTCCATGCCTCCTTACTGCTTGCCGGCACATTCCATGGCAGCACGGATCCCCTTGGGAACGCTGATCACACCCTGCACAAGATGCTGGCCCAGTAGCTCCTCAGCTGCTGCTGCCATGCCCAGTACAGCCTTGCCAAAGCCCACTAGGTAGAGGTTTTGCCGCAGCTGAAAGCTCCGGTCCCGAACCTTCAGCGTTCTGCCATCAGGGTCCAAAGACAGTGCCTTTTGCAACATGGGACCTGGCTGCACGGCACCCACAGCACTCTCAAACAACTGTTGTGCATGCTCTGCCAATGCCACACCACTGGCCAGCCGGGCCATTGGAGCCCCCCAGATGAGTTGACGCAAGGGGGCTCGAACCAGACAGGGCAGGACCTGAAGGGCTGTAGCCATGCCCCACTGCTCTCAGCACCACCTTGCATCCATGGCTGCCTGGGGGAAGAAAGCATATTATGAGGCTAGAGATGGGAAGCCCCCCACAACCACCCCTCTGAGGGCTTAGGGCCAGTGGGCCCCATAGCAGCTGCTGCAAGAATGAGCCTCTGATAGCTCAAGGGGACTTCCTCAATCCCACAGCTACCTGACCTCAGTCTCCTCCTTGGATCCCAGCCCACCACCCAGCCAAGTCCTCCTCTTCTGCAGACCATACATCAGGCTTCCAGACACTCTGTCCCAAGTCCAAAGTTCCTGTTGACTGGGCCCTTCTCCTAGATCATCCCCCTTGGCTGGGGTTAATCATTCACAAAAGGAGCAATTCCTACCAGAGGGTTTCCACTCCCCCTTTTCCACCTCCAGCATTTCTAAGCCCTGGTCCAGGGGGTAACACCCACTTCTGGCACTCCAGCCTTGCTTCTTTACCATTTCTGCTGCCAGGAGGCTGTTGGTCACATCAACCGACCCTGAGTCCACTGACCTCCAACCTGCTCTCTTTCATTAGCTCATGGGACTGGGCTGGGAAGCTTGGGAATGCAGGTCTGTGTGGGGAGGCTACATGTTCATCAGTGCACTGATAGGCCAGGTCCAGAGTACATCCTCAAGGCACACAAGCTGAGGAATCCCAGCACTCAGGTAAGTCCAGCAAAGAAGACCAGGTACAAGTCAGAAGTAAAGGCTAGCTCACAGTGAAACTTAAGGAAGTCCCCAGGCACTGCTTGAGGCCACGTACTATGGAACCTGATCTGCAGGAGAGGAAAAGATGCCCTTCTACCCACAAAGCTGGACAGACCCATCCCTGCCAAAAACACCCATTCTGGCTCTGACATAGCAAAACAAGTCCTGAGTCACACCACTTGTAGCGGTGAGAGCCCAGTGGCTGAAGCAGGAAAAAGTCAGGTTCCTATCACTGAGCCCAAATATTCATTTTCCCCATTGGGCCCAGAAAGGTTTGAGGTGAAGGTCAGGGAGCAATAGAGGGGTTTTAGGACAATAAAACACCAAAGGGCTCATCTATAAAAAGACATCAATTTTTTTCATTGTTTTATATTTTGGTGCTAGAGATTGAACTCAGGGCCTCACACATGCTAAATATGCACTCTATCACTGAGCTACACTCCAATCCCTAAAAAATCACCTACTTTAATGAATAACTACCATTAATGCTGCAAGCTGATTATATCAGCAAGTGTGGAGGAGGAGAGTCAGCATTCCAGCTCTACCAACAGGTTTTCTGGGTAGCTGATGCACCTCCATTTCTCCCACTGGGACTCATTTGAAAAATGAGGTGAGATTAAAATTAACATTTGGGCTGGGCACAGTGGTACACACCTGTAATTTAGCAGCAGGAGGATGGCAAGTTCAAAGCCAACCTCAGCAACTGAGCAAGACCCTATCTCAAAAAACAGGGGTTGTAGTTGTGACTCAGTGGTAGAGCGCTTGCCTAGCATGTGAAAGGCACTGGGTTTGATCCTCAGCACCACATAAAAAAGTAAATGAATAAAATAAAGATATAAAAAAATGTTGAGAGGCCTGGGTTGTGGCTCAGTGGAGTGCTGGCCTAATGTGTAGGCACTGGGTTTGATCCTCACCACCACATAAAAATAAATAAATAAATAAACAAAATAAAGGTAGTGTGTACATCTACAACTAAAAAAGATTTATTTTAAAATGTTTAAAAAATAAAACAAAAGGCTGGGGATGGACCTAAGCAGTTAAGCACCCCTGGGGTTCAATCCCCGTTTTTAAAAAAAAAGGACGGGGGAGCTTTAGGTTGTGGCTCGCCTAGCACATGGGAGGCCCTGGGTTCGATCCTCAGCACCACATAAAAAATAAAGAAAGAAAGAGAAAGTATTGGGCCATCTACAACCAAATAAATAAATATATTTTTAAAAAGATTAAAGATTAATGCTTGCCGGGTAGAGGAGAGGTAGCCGGCTCCTCGTGGCCCAGTGATAGACAGCACCTGCCTAACAAGTGGGAAAGTCCTGAGTTTGATCCCAAGCGGTCGACCTAGCTCACCCCTCAACACCCTCAGGCTTTCTGAAGCCATCCAATGTTAACACAGAGAACACAAAACACAAGTTTATTCCATACCCAAACAATATGGCAATTTCCATACCTGTGTTACTTACATTACCTAGTTCTCAGCTTTTCCATAAATTAAGATTAACCCTGCTCCACTCCTGTGGTGAAAGGGAACACAAAGAGCACCTCCACAGAAAAACGACCGGATTTCGCCAGGGGGATCCCTGGGGCTTGCCCATCAGGCTGACTTTCATAGCCTGAGTGAACCGTATAACTATTTTCCATGCGGACAAAGGCCGAAATGACCTCAATCTTGCTACTAAATACCAGAATCCAGGGCAGGGGAACGCTCAAGGCTAAATTTGCCAGATAAAATACAGGACGTCCCGTAAAATTTGAATTTCAGATAAGTAATATTGTAGTAAAGTGTCCCACATAGTATTTGGAATATTCTTATACTAAAAATTATTAATAGTTTATCTGAGATTCAGTTTCACTGGACATCCTGAATCTTTATTTGTCAAATCCGCCAATTCTACTCAGGATAACAGCATCGTAATCCCAGGAAGTTCTAGTTCAAAATACAAAAAAAAACCAGAACGATCAGCGTTGACTCCTCCCCGGCACCAGGTGGGACTGCCAATTCCGGTTTTCGCTGCCCGCAGATGACTCGGAAGTGACGTCATCCCGAAGTCGCGGCCCGGAGCCTTCACAAGGGAAATACCTGCTGTGTAATGCCAGTAGTGACGCGAAGAATAAGGGCCAGCTACTGTAGACCTGCCCTCAACTATACTCGGGACTGCCTCGGAAGGTCATGTGTGCTCCAGCCGCAAGGACTTACCATTCCACAGCTACGGGCCCAGCTTCCAGCGCTGGAGACCGGAAGTACTCGCGGGTGGGCGGAACGGAGTCCGGAAGTGGGAATGAGGGACGCGTATTTGGTAAGGTTGTGACTCTGCTCGGACCGGATGCCCTGAAAAGATGCTTACGGGACACCAAGTCTTCGTCTTTGCCTTGAGTTCTCAATGGATTTCAGTTATACGTCCCCATTTTTTTACCTTGTAGGATGTAATCAGTGATTAAATATATTCTAAACTCTTGTTAGGAGCCAGGTATCGAGCTGGGCAAATGGACAGAATCGCTACTTTCCCCCAACCCACCCCTTGGAGCCCCGCCCCGCCGATGGCTATGATCCCACAACTCGTTGGCGTTTCCCCTGTGTAAAATGACTACTCTGCTTTCAAGGAAATAAGAAGAAGAAAAAAAAAACAGTTTATCCTGAGTCAAATATGAATGACCATGGCCTGGGAACAGGGATTCAAATTACATTAAATTGGCATATGCCCCTGTGAAAGAGGTAGTGTGAGCTACTGAGGATGGAGTACAGAGCCTCTCGTGTGGTAGATAGGCACACTACCGCTGAGCTTTGTCCCCGGGCTTTTTTTTTTTTTAATTATATATGACAGCAGAATGCATTATAATTCATATTACACATATAGAACACAATTTTTCATATCTCTAGTTGTGCACAAAGTAGAGTCACACCATTCTTGTCTTAATGTACTTTATACATGTCTTCATACATACATGTACATGTACAGGGTAGTGATGTCCATAGCATTCCACCTTCTTTCCTACCCCCATTCCCCCTCCCTTCCCCTCCCTCCGCTTTGCCCTCTATAGAGTTCATCTAATCCTCCCATGCCCCCCACCCCCAACCCCATTATGAATCAGCATCCTTATATCAGAGAAAATTCGGCATTTGGTGGTTTTTTTTTTAAATTGGCTAACTTCACTTAGCATTATATTCTCCAACTCCATCCATTTACCTCCAAATACCATGATTTTATTCTCTTTTAATGCTGAATAATATTCCATTGTGTATATATACTACATTTTCTTTTTTTTTTTTAAAGAGAAAGAGAGAGAGAGAATTTTAGTGTTTATTTTTTAGTTTTTGGTGGACACAACATCTTTGTATGTGGTGCTGAGGATGGAACCCAGGTCGCACGCATGCCAGGCGGGCGAGCTACCGCTTGAGCCACATCCCTAGCCCACCACATTTTCTTTATCCATTCATCTACTGAAGGGCATCTAGGTTGGTTTAGTTATTGTGAATTGTGCTGCTATAAACATTACTCTGGCTGTGTCCCTGTAGTATTCTGTTTTTAAGTCCTTTGAGTATAGACAGAGGGGTGGGATAGCTGGGTCAAATGGTGGTTCCATTCCTAGTTTTCCAAGGATTCTCCATATTGCTTTCTATATTGGTTGCACCAATTTACAGTCCCACCAGCAATGTATGAATGTGCCTTTTTCCCCACATCCTCGCCAACACTTTTTGTTTTTGTATTCTTGATAGCTGCCATTCTGACTGGGGTGAGATGAAATCTTAGAGCAGTTTTGATTTGCATTTCTCTAATTGCTTTTTTTTTTTTTGAGGAGGGTTATTAAACTCAGAAGCGTTTAACCACTTGGCAACATCCCCACCCCTTTGTATTTTTGAGAGAACATCTCACTAAGTTGCTTAGGTTCTCCCTAATTTGCCCAACTCAGCCTCCAACTTCCTGTCCTCCTGCCCTGCCTCCTGAGTACGTTATGGGTGTGCACCACCACTCCCAGCTCAGATTTTATCTTCTAGCATTCTTAGCTTTAAGGTTGGTGGAAGCTAGAAATAATATATTCCAAAAAGTTTATTAGTTACAAGGATATTAGGTCAGATAAAAAGTTAAGGTAAATGGCTAGTAAAGAATTTAAAATAGCCCAAGATAATTTTGACTCTTTTTTTTTTTAAGAGAGAGAGAGAGAGAGAATTTCAATATTTATTTTTTATTTATTTATTTTTTTTTTTTGCGGACACAACATCTTTGTTTTTTTTATATGTGGTGCTGAGGATCAAACCCGGGCCACACGCATGCCAGGCGAGCGTGCTACCACTCGAGCCACATCCCCAGTCTCTAATTTTGACTCTTGATGTACAACATTTCATCTCTCCACAATCACTATGTCCTACTTAGCCAAGATCAAGCAGTCTGAAGGATTTATTTCTATTTTTATTTATTTATTTTTTTCGGTACCGGGGATTGAACTCAGGAGCACTGGGCCACTGAGTGACATCCCCAGCCTATTTTATATTTTATTTAGAGACAGGGTCTCACATAGTTGTTCAGCCTCCCAAGCCACTGGGTTTATAGGCATGCACCATCATACCTGGCTGAAGGATCTTTAATATAGATGCAACTTCTCCAGAAAACTTCAGTTCACACCCCATAACCTCCATGGACCACCAAATACAAGTTTGGCTCAGCAAGAGATTGATGTTCCTTGATCTAATCCTCAAACAAGCACACTGTGTGTATCACAAATGACCCTGGATCCTCCTTATTGCCCCTGCTCTTTCTCACCTGCCTTGAGCCTAGCTATCTGACTCCTCCCCACATTTGTTAAGTCAAGTCTTGACCATACTGCAAAAACACAAAAAAGAACACACTTTTTTACTGATGAAGATGAGGGAAGGAGTTGCATAACAAATTGCATGGCATATTTCCTTAAAATATTGAAACCTATTTATCTCCACCTGCTAAGCTTTGGCCATTGCTACATCTCTCCATAGGAGTTGAAACCATTCTCTGTCCTTGTCATGAACTACACACACACACACACACACACACACACACACTTCCAGCTCTCTCCCTGTTTTTATTTCCCTTTATAAGAGAGGACATTTTATTCCTTCTCCCAAATGATTCCCCACTCCATCACCAAAATAAGAGAACTTCAGGAGGACCTACTCTTTTCAATGTGAGGGGAGACTGTAAATACTTTAAATTTCATAGTTTTTCCTTGCTTACAGTAAGCTGTCTTTATCCATCCATGCATGTATTCATTTCTCCATCATTCAACAGACATTTCCTCAGTACCTTTATATGAACCAATTGCTGTAGCTACTGGGAAGAGTAAGAAGTGGTTCTGCTTTTCTGATTATATTTCTGCACTGCTACTGAGAGTTTAAATTTGTATACCTCTCATTAGTTAGTGATAGAAATTCCCTTAAACAGACACCATTTACTGTGCCAGTTCTATTCTGTCACAGTGTAAGCAGGAGACTGTACCCATTTGTTAATTTCCCATTGCCATCTGAAGCTACTCCAAAGATGCACTTTACAACAGCAAGGTTTCTGTGCTCACTGGACTGTGAGCTCCTGCAAGGTAGTGACTTGATCTAATTCATATATGTATTTCTTCTTCCCTGCATTTGAGCAGATATAAATAGAGCCTGGAATTTCTGTTTTCATTTTTAAAAATGAATTAACAGGTGAACAGGGGAAGGATTCAGCTGAAAAGTGGAAAGGATTTCTCAAAAGGAAAAGAGGTAGTGGTGAGTGGAAGTAATGAAGCAACGGAATTTAGGACCAAGAAAACAAGGCTTCTGGTGGGCATGATGACACACAACTATAATCCTAGTGGCTCAGGAAGCTGAGGCAGAAGGATCCCAGGTTCAAAGCTAGCCTCAGCAACTTGTGAGGTTGTAAGCAACCTAGTGAGACCCTGTCTCAAATTTTTAAAAAATAAATAAAAAGGTCTGGAGATATGGCTCAGTGGTTAAGCACCCTTGGGATCAATTTCTGCTACCAAAAAAAGAAGGGGAAAGAAAACAAGGCTTCTCAGAACACTTGCACATAGCTTGATAGTAGGAATAAATATTTGACTACAGACTTTCTAGAGTGCACTTTGGCAATAAGTATCAATATAAAAAATGGGACAGGCAATTTCACTCCATGGAAATAATTGGGCATGTGGACAAAGATGGTATAGGAAAGATTTTTTCTTTGCCTTCTTAGGTTCTGCTACTGGGGCCCTGTAGATTAAACTGTCCAAAAAAAAGTAATAAGAGAAATGGGTTTATTTCATATGCACATGGAAAGCCTTGTCAAAATGAAATGAAAACTCCATAGGAATGGTAAGACTTGAGATCTTATATATTATTTATTTATTTATTTTTTTTTTTTTTAAATTTTAATATTTATTTTTTAGGTTTCGGCGGACACAACATCTTTGTTTGTATGTGGTGCTGAGGATCGAACCCGGGCCGCACGCATGCCAGGTGAGCGCGCTACCGCTTGAGCCACATCCCCAGCCCCTTATATATTATTTATAACAAGGAATGATAATTTGTGGAGACTTAACAAAACTAAAAGGGACTTGAGCTTTTAGGATCAGTTAATTGTGGGATACTAAATATATGTGGAACACTGATGGAAGATAAGCATTATTTTACTAAGGTTTGTTTGTACAGATTCATCTCTGAATCCACTGCCTGTCTCCAGTGCTAAGCATATTCTCTTCCTGCTATGGGAGGATACCTTTCTCATGGGAAATTTATATCCCACTTTTAGGTTAAAAATGGGGAAGGCAGGAGGTCCTTCCAACATCTACTGTTTCCCAAATTCCTTCATCTCAAAATAAGTCTTATGCCAAAGTCGCATGTTTTTAAGTGGTATAATCTGATCCGCTTCAATGGACATGAAGAGATATCCACTTAGAGTTTTCATGAATGTAAAGCAATCTAAATAGACACTGATAAGAGAATTTATATAAAGAATTTATAGTATTTCTAAACAGACATTAAAAATAATAACCAGGGCTAGGATGTGGCTCAAGCGGTAGGTAGCGCACTCACCTGGCACGCGCGGGGCGCTGGGTTCCATCCTCAGCACCACATAAAAATAAAATAAAGATGTTGTGTCCACCAAGAACTAAAAAATAAATAAATAAATAAATAATAATAATAATAATAACCAACCATGGTGGCACATGTGTTGTAATCCTAGTCCAGAGGCAAAGACAGGAGGATTGCAAGTTCGAGGCCAGCCTCAGGAACCAAGGGAGGCCCTAATCAACTTAGGGAGACCCTGTCTCAAATTTTTTTAATATTTATTTTTTAGCTTTAGGTGGATACAATATCTTTATTTTATTTTTATGTGGTGCTGAGGATCGAACCCAGTGCCTCACATATGCTAGGCGAGCACTCTACCACTTGAGCCACAACCCCAGCCCCCTTTTTTTTATTTTAAAAAGGGATGAGGATGTGGTTCAGTGATTAAGCAACCCTGGGTTCAATCTCTATTACCCCAAAATTAATTAATTAATTAAATTTAAAAGTAAAAAAGGACTAGGAATGGGTTCAGTGGTAAAATGCCCCTGGGTTAAATCCCCAGTCCCTCCAGCTAATAATAATAATAACAACAACAACATACATGTGTTTTGGGTTTTGTTTTTCTGTATTGGGGGTTGAATCCTCAGGGCCTTAGACA